TTCAAATGCTAATGAGTGCTTTCAGAAAAGAGCTGTCATGATGTTGTTAAGTGCTGGTCGAGTTAGTTCCGACTCATAGCAATCCTGTATAGGGTTTCCGAGGAGCATCTGGTGGGTTTGAACTGCCGACTACGTGGTTCACAGTCCGGTGCTGATCCTACATTGCCACATCAGGAAGGTATTATGATAGAGGTTGGCGCTGTAGGATAATGCACTGGATCACAAGGTCAGTTTGAACTGTAGAGTCGGTGGATCAAACTCACCACCTGCTCCTCAGAAACCATAGGGTCTCTAATGAGTCGAAACTTACTCGACGGCACTTAACAACAACAACATTGCAAAGACTCTTCTTACAGGTTTGTTGCTGTTGTTAAGTGCCATTGAGTCGATGCCAACCCATAGCAACCCTGTATAGGGTTTCCAAGGAGCAGCTGGTGAGTTTGAACCACAGACCTTGAAGTCTTACAGGTTAGGGAATGCAATAATTACTCTGGCAATTCTCATCTCACTTAAATGAACAAGTTGAACATTTACAAAAGCACTGCTGGCTAAAAGAGCTGGGCAGAACTATGACTGTGAGGTTGGAGAAAGTAAGTAACCCATTCAACCCTAAACCCCTGGCACAGAGCTTTGCCACCCTAGTGGCCCTTGTTTTTGGTACACTTGGAATTACAAGAAGGGAGGACAGAATCTTAGGAACACAAATTCCCCCATCTCCTGCCTTTATACCTGTTGCTTAGTAAGGTCAACCTGGATCAGGTACCCCTCTTCACAGGTGGAAGGCAATTGCTTACTCATAAATTGGCTTCAACCAAGACATTCATGATGAGTGTCGATAAACCTTTAAATTCCACATAAAGATAGTTTAGCTTATGAAAAAAATAATAAATAAAAGAATTATTTGGTCTATAATGGCTAAAAAGGAGCCCTGGGATGCTATGGGTTAAGTGTTGGGCTGCTAACTACATGGTAAGCAGTTCAAACCCACCAGCTGCTCCCTAGGTGAAAAATGAGGCTGTCTGCTCAGAGACTGTAAATCTGTGAAGATTTACAAAGACTGTAAATCTGTAAAGATTTGCAGTCTCTGAAATTCTATGTGAGACTTTATGAGTGGGTATAATGGTTGAAAGAGCAATTAACAATTCACTCAAAGTACAGTGTCTAGTCAGAAAAACTAATGTGCAAAACAAAATAAAAGCTTCTATGAGATTTGGTCACTGGTAGACTTGGAAACAGAATGAAATACTGATTTAAAGTACAAGACACAGGCATTTCCTCTCCATCTAGATTGTTTTTTAAAGTTTGGATTTTATCAAGCTGCTTGACCAATTACAGATACCGCTTTCCTTTCACTGTTAAGAGAAATCACACAGGAGGAAGAAAATCAAGTCGTTTCTCTGTAGATATGGGAAGACTGGCATCTCTGATTGCTACTATTTTACTTATTATTTTTGTCTTTTATTTTTGTATTAGCCGAGGTCCATAAACATAGGATTACATCCAGAAGTAGCATGACATTAGCTTCTAATTCTGTGTTTCTTAGTGTCACTCTAGCGAGACTGTCAATGGTTTAAAAGGAAGAGGAAGAGGGCAAGGTGTTCATAATAGCACCATTAATTACATGCTCTCTACACATCTAAATAGAAGGGCAAAAGCATTTTCAAGTCCAATAAATTAATACAATAATACTTCTTCTGGTTCATTGTTCAGAATCATAATAAGAACCATCTTGATAACATATGGCCAGAACAATGTTTCCTGCTTTATCCTCTTAGTGTATTATTTCACATTGTTTTGTATATTCTACCTGGTCATGATTTAGGATTTTACCATATTAAAAATGCTTACATAACCAAATGCACAAGTTAATCATCTGACTCCCAAGGAGGGCTAAATAGTCTCTAATAAACAAATGATATATTAAGTCTCATCTTTCATGTTTAGCATATTATACTTAAGATGAATCTCCACACAGTTAAATTGCAAGTATGAAAAAGCTACTTAACATCAAAGAGAAATCATCTAAAGTTTAGAAAGTCATCTTTCAAAGTAACTTACTGTACATTATGTTAAAGTTCTTATTAGCATCACAGGCTTCAAAGAACAAAACAAAACTAGAAATGTTAAATGTAGACACTCTTCAGAAATATCCTCTATATGTCATTCATTAAAAACCTGTGAATATAATTAACTTGGACCCTGACCTGCCTTTAATTCTTCTTTTATTAGCATACCTCACTGACAAAATAATATACTGACAAATAAAATAATATACTTCTATGGTTTATCTGGAGTCCTGGTGTGGCATTGTAGGATAAGAACTGTACTGCCAACCTCAAGGTCAGCGGTTCAAATCCACTAGCTGCTCCTTAGAAACTCTATACAGGGTCATTATGAGTTAGAACCTTAACAACAATGTCTTAGCACTTAACAATAACAACAGTGGTTTATCTAAAAATTAAATAGCAAATAAATTGCATATGAAGTTTTAAACACTATGCTTACAACTTAAGGATCTAGACATCTCCAAAATTTAAACAAATGTCCTTACATCTGTCCTGGTATGGCACTGTAGGATAAGCACTAGACCATAATGTCAGTTTGAACCTCAAGGTCAGTGGTTCAAACTCACCAGGTACTCCTCGGAAACCCTGTATATAGGCTCACCATGAGTCGGAACTGACTAGACATCACTTAACAACAGCAACAAACATTTTCTTTAGTACAAAGACTATCATCACATTTTATACTGGCATTTAGAAAATTGGATATTTATGTCAAAATTCTGAAGTATGACATCGTATTTAACTATCCCATAGTCATTTTTTAATTTAAAGGATTTTTGTGTGTTCTAGTCCAGGAAGAGGAAATAATAAAATATTGTAATAATTGTGATTTGTTTTAACTTCAAAGCCAGAAATTCCTTCCCAAGGACTGTTTTCTTTCTTTTGAAACTTAGGTGCTTAGAGTGCCAACCAAACCTATTGCCACCAAGCTAATTCTGGCTCATAGTGACCCTGTAGGACAGAATAGAATTGCCCTATAGGGTTTCAAAGGTTGTAAATCTTTACAGAAGTAGACTTCCACGTTTTTGTTTTTTTTCCCATGGAGCGACTGGTGGATTTGAACTGCTAACCTTTCAGTTAGCAACCAAGTGCTCAGCCAAGATTCCTGTTTATCACAAAAAGTCTCATAAGAACTGAAATATTTAAGAATATGTAAATATTTCACCTACAAATTACTTTCAGGCCTTTGAAAAACAATCTAATTTGAATCACCAGTCTAAATAGGTCATTTGACTTAGAAAAATTAAAATTAGCTGTGCAGAGTGAATTCTTTTTCTAAAACATCTGCATCTTGCATGTCCTGTTCTCTTCAAAGACAAACCAAGAGCTAAGGATCAAGACTAGCCCTGATATGTGAACTTATTTCAAATTTATTCTGCTTTGAAACAGATATAAAAGTTCACATTATATATATATATGTAAACATAGAAGGAGCCATGGACATCGAGGGTGGAAAGACAAAAGGAAAAGAACTCTTAGACATAAGGAGAATAATGGGCTGCGTTTGAGGTGTGGGGCTCTACTCTTGTTCACTTGGTTACCCTTAACATACACACTTCTGCAGGGCATGTAATCTAAATCAGTCAAGACACCCTTAATTTGAGCAAATACTTCCACACTAGTTTAGTCTCCCACAAGCTTCTCTTATATCAAACTAGCCATACAGGATGATGAGTCTTAAAGCTGTCTTCCCAGAACCTTTAAGAAGGTATTCATCCTATAGTATTCTGGTAAACTCAAACATTAAATCTTTACTTCCAGGAAACCTTTCTAGGCACCAGATAAACTACAAAATCTTGACGCTAAAGTCTTTCAAAAATCAAAACAATAAAACAAAGCACAGATGAGAAAATGTGACTGTCGGAGACATTCTATACCACTCTCTCCATAGCCAGGCCGTCCATCAAACGGATCCCAACAATACTGAGGCGGCAAGGCTCCAATGACAAGGTCTGCCCTTAGATAGGAGGACTTCAAAGGAGGGCTGGCAGAGGCGAAATCAGCATTGGAGGAGGTACAGAAAGTCAGTTTGGTTTAGAAACACCAGAAAATGTACCCCAGCCCCTTTTTTGAGTTAAGAGTAACTTTGATGCTATGAAGTACTTTCAGATATACCTGTTTTCTCCAGCTCTCCACCTTCAACCCCTATTCCCGCCCCCTAACACCAACCGGGCTCTGGGGTGGCCTCTACAATCTCCGTAGAGACCCGGGATGCTGAAGAAACAGGGTTTCCTCTCTGCACACCTCCCAAAAGAACTTCCTGAAAAAGAGATCTTGAGAAATGTTTATTCTCTCAAATCCACGCTCTTTACAGGATAAAATGGAAGGACCTTTGCTCTGACAAGGAATCAAACTGAAGACTTGACAGCGAGGAAACGCTAAGGAACATTCTAGGATTTATGGTCTCCAGATGAATGATAGAATGTTTATAAATGCCCAGGGGTGAGAGAGGCAATTCCCCTCCAACCCCTCCACCAAATCACCCTCCTTAAGCAAAAGAGTCCCAGCGAGGGGCAGAGCAAGCTAACTACTCCTTCCAACATAACCTCTCCAAAGCCTTTCGCCTCGCTGTGCCAGCCCTTCCCGAGTCCCCCAGCCCAGATCTCTCTAAACGGCCGCGTCCCCACCCACCATCTTTAGTTCTGAGTAGACTTGGCCCAGCAACCGCCCTATCTCCCGCGTGTCCCTCTTCTCGGTGGTGTCCCCCGCACTTGGGAGGTTCACGAACGCCCCGGGACCATGCGCCAATGCTGGTTCTAGGGATCCCTGGAGGTTCCGGCTGCCCAGGGCTCCCGCCCCCCACACCCCACTCCTGAGCGGATTAAGTTGCTGGGTACCCAGTTGCGCGCACAGTCACCGTCCCTCCCACTCCGGCCCCTCCCGGGCTCGGGCGCCCAGGGTCCCCCGCCTCCGCGGAGGTGAGCGCGCACTCACCGGAGGTGAGCTGCATCCAAGCACAGATCTTGTACACCGTGGCCGTGTTGCAGAAAAAGAAGAGGGTAAAGCAGACGATGCAGGCGATGGTGAGCATCATGGAAAGGCCGATGAAGAACGAAGCGGCTTTGAAGGCGCCCGAGGGCAGCGTGGAGAAGTCCGTGAAGCTGCCCCTGCAGGTCAGCTCCGGAGAGAAACCGTTGCCGATGCAGTAGTGGAAGAGCCCGAAATAGCCGGCTTGCGGGGTATCCACGCCGTCGCCGATCCAGTAGGGCTGGATAAAGCACACCACATTGACGATGGCAAAGCAGATGGTGAAGATGGCCCACAGCACGCCGATGGCCCGAGAGTTCCGCACATAGTTGGTGTGGTACAGCTTGGCAGCCTCCTGAGCCGGGAGCATCGCGGCGGCGGCGGCAGCGGCGGCAGCTCCGGGCATTCTCCCCCTCCTCCTCCTCGTCCTCCTCCTCCCCCGCCTCTCGGCGCACAGGAGACACACTCGCGGAGCCGCGCGCGCTGCAAGTCCCCTGTCTCCGCCTCAGCCCAACAGCACCAGTTTCAGAGTCTGCATCCTCGCTCCCGGAAAGAGGGCGGGGGAGCGCGAAGCACCCCTCCGGCTCGCCTGGCCCAGCCTCTCACACCCTCCTTCTTTCCCTCCCTCCTGGTCCGGGTTCCAGCCCTCCTCACCACCCTCCACCCCTTTTCCCACCGCTCCCGCGTTCCTGCAGCTGCTGCAGCTGAAGGCGGCAAATCCCGCTCGGGGCAGAGCTGTGCGCGAGCCCAGAGCGCCCCCAACTCCCTTTCCCGCGGCCCGCCCCCTGGCCTATGCCTCTGCTGCCCCGGGTGCGGGAAGGATGGCGGCGACCCCTAGACGCCCCTCCAGTGGCCAGCGCGGGCCAGAGAAGCGGGCCTGGAGTTCGGGAGGGTGTGCTTTAGGAGGTAGCGGGGGAACGCCTACGGAGATTGTAGAGGCCACCCGAGAGCCCGGTTGGTGTTATGGGGCGGGAATAGGGGTTGAAGGTGGTGAGGTGTACTGGAACCAGGCTGATTTTAGGAACCGTTCAGCTCTGCACAGCAACGTGCTTCGACCTCTGCTTCTTTGCCGAGATGCAGGTGCAGACTAGAGAGTCGAAGGGAAAAGAGACGTACCGCCCCCAAGGGACTTTCCTGTTACTACCACCGAACTGCCCCCCTCGGTTACTCCTTGGTTGCCTCGGGTCCAGTGGAAGACCTGGAGGAGACATAGTTCGACAGGAGTCTGGCGGGCAGTAATATAAAAGACAAACCTTCAGGATGGGCTCCTAGCTGCTCAAGGAAGCTTGTATCCTCTTGGAATTTTGTTTGGTGTGTATATTTTGTTTTGGTTTTCCTTTGCAGCTAAATGAGCCGTAGCCAATCGATGCCACACACCTTACTTTAAGACTGGTCATTTTCCCCACACATCCTTCCTTAGCTAGGGCCTGTGTGCGCATGAAGTGACTGCCACAAAAATGGATAGCTTGTTTAGAAACCATAATATGTTTTGTTATTGTTACGTGATGCTGAGTTGGTTCTGAGTCACAATTACCCTGTATAAGGTTACCAAGGAGCAGTTGGTGGATTTGAATCGCTGACCTTGTGATTAGCAGTCTAGTGCTTATCCTACAGTGCAACACCTGAACTTAGCTAAATCAGTGTTATATTTATCACACACATCTTCATTGGCAGCTGTGTGCCCAAACACTGTGGCTACAAACAGGACGACAGACAGTACTTGTTTTAATTACCTGGGCTATTTCCACAACCCACATTCCAAAATTGCAAATAACCAGAGAGTTTGAGGGAGGGGTAAGTTCTCTGCATTTTCCTGTGGCATTGCTATGCAATGCCCTTTGTGCTATTACCTAACTTAATATTTCCCCTTTTCCAGACTTTCTATTGCTCCTTTTGCATTCCCTACCCTCCAAACTCCATTTTCATATTCTATTGCTTGCCTTTTCCATTCCTTCTGACTCTGATATAAAGAAACATAAACCAGAATGTTCAATTGCAGCTGTAGATTTTGGTAACAAACAATTCTGAACCACAAGACCATTGAAAAGAGAATCCTGTTAAAAATTCAAGCCCTAAAGCTACATTTAATTGCATACAGTATTATAATGCAAAAGTCAGATATTAGCTCCTTGAGACTATCTTGACAGTATATCTAATCTTCCAATTCCCTTACTAGAAGAGTGAGCTTCCAGGTAGAATATCAAACTGGGAGTTTAGGATGGCAGTTGCAATAGGTATTCAGTACATAAATGGCTATTATATGAAAAAGGTGTCGTCCCCAAAAGTGAAGACCAATCATGCTCTCCATCTGATAGCCTGAAGATTTGAGACTGTCTGGAGAGGGAGAAGGCAGAGGAATGGGCACGTGACACACAAGACAATGAAGGGGCTGTGGCTGAAACTGGAAAAGGATTTAAAACTCTGTTAGACTCTTACATTCAGCTCATCCTACAGGTATTAAATTTGAGTATCACTGCTCAGTGTCCATTAGGCAGGACTTTGAAAATCAACAGAGGCCTGAATTAAATAGTAGCATGAGACATTCAGGCTTAGGTGAGTGAGAATTTCTAGCAAGTGTGATTGTTGACTCTCAAAAGCCCCTTCAGAAATCAGAGGGACTTAATGGAGGTGGAGAGAAAGAACTAAATTAGAGGTAGCCCAATATAATCGTTGCCAATCTAAAAATACAAACCATGATGATACATCGTCAGTGCATTGGTGGTAGTGAAGGGTCAGAACTCTGTTGGGTTGCATTTGTTCCGTGAAGTTGCTGGCAAATCAGAGGAGTTTCAATATGGAAGGAAGAGGCAAAGTGAGGGTATTCAGATTTATAGGGCTATCTAGCAAGCCATGCATCCTGGAGGCAGAGAGAGTTTTACAGGTTAAAGGGACAGTAATTTCCAGGGACTCTCCCAAGCCCTCAAATTAGCCCAACTAGCTTGTGTGAAGGGATCTTTCTTAAAAAGACCCCTTGCCTCAAAGAGACCTTACTGTTCCCATGGAGCCTTGAGGTGAAAGGTAGGCTGAGAGGTAGGCCAATCATCACAAACCCTAGTTTAGACTCCAGTGCTTAAATTGTCTTTACAGGACAAAGAAAAGACTGGTGAGTGACTCAGATTCAAATGTTGTGATTCAAAGAGCTTTTCTATCTGAGTCATCCCTAAGGAGAGCCTTATTCTTATTCCAGATTTGGAATTGCCTCTAGGCAATTCTGACAAGGAACACACTCAAGTGTCTACTGTTGACCATAGCTACTAGATGGATTCCTGATCCAAAGTGTCCCCATAGATACCCACCCACCCACTGATATCTGAGTTGTTGCTCCTTGAGGGTAGTAGCCAGTCAAGAATCCACAGGAGGACCCTTCCTCATCCTGCCCTGCACCTCAGAAGACTGGGAGAAAAATCCTCCAAGACTCTTAGAGCTACACATGAGCTAGGATACCTGTAAGCTCTTCACATACCATAAATAGGTACAGGTTCCCAAATCTCTGTATCACCCACTCCCAACTTGCCCTTGGTTATGCCCTCATTTCCTAGGAGCAACTGGTGAAATTGAACCATTGACCTTGGTCTTGGAAACTAAGAACTCCAAAGGTTTTGCCTGGCAGCGTACAAACGCCAGGAGTTCAGACAGCTAAACATCTGGGCAACCCATTGCATTCATCAAATATGTGACCAAGAATGCTGTTTTGGAAAGGAGGATATAATAAAATTAGCCTGATTCAAGCTAAGAAGTTGCTATTGATAGAAAAGTATTTTGAAACTATAACATGATTCATATGTGCTAAATAACTAGTAGAAGGTAGTGTCATCAACAGCATAGAATTAGAAACACTGAGCACTCAAAACCACTTAAAAATTACTTTCTCCTACTGCCACAAAGAGTCAGTAATGAGACCCACTCTTTCCCCCAAACTGTATCTCAATGAATGTTAGGACTATAAAACAAAAACAACAGAATAGTTTGGTCATGTCCACTGCAAAAAAAGATCCTGGGTGAGTTAAAGGGGCAAACACAGGGGGCATGTGTGCAAAAGACATG